AAGAACTGAATAAAATGCTATATAAAATCCCTTCTAGTCCATATTCCATTCTATTTTGTTTACATGGACAGGTTTTTAATTTTTACATTTATAAATACTCAAAGCAGAATAGAATCAATACTAAATCCTGTCCCATTCTAGAAATAAATAATCATCATTTGCAAATATATGAACTAATTGGAAAAAAGTTCTTTGACCTCAAGATATATCTTCACTAAATATGTACTCATTATTCAGAAACTATTTATCTGAACTTAGAATACATATAACACAAATAATAATCATTTAATCCAGGATACATCTTTTACATTGCTTTAGAAATCATTTACATACATAAATTTCATTTTAAGTGTACCATTCAGTGAATTTCAATATACTTAACGGAGCTATACAACTGTCAACACTTCTATCACTGAAAAGCTTCCTTCCCATTTACGGTCAGTTTTAATCACTAACCCCAGCTTTAGGCAAACACTGTATCTACTCTGTCTGTATGTAGTTAACTTTTTAAACAAATCATAAAAATAAATTCATACACTGTTCTTTTACATACAGCTTCTTTCACTGAACATAGTGATTTTAGGTTTATCCATGTTCTGACATATATTAATACTTTATAAATTTTTATAAATATTTTATTATATTAATATGCTGCCTTTAAAAAATCATGTCAGTTGATGAATATTGGGTTTTTTTAAATAATGCTTCTATGAGCATCTGTGTACAAGTGTACCTATATACTCTGTATTTGTATAAGTGTTTCTATCATTTTATTTCTATTATTTTAATTCGATGTATTCTATTTTCAGAATGAGAAAGGAATCTGCATCATTTCGATCCTGAGTTTAATATTATAAATGTAAAAGCTGAAAACCTGTGTACCTAAATAAAACAAACAGAAGTGGAAAGAGTTTATAACCTGAGTATTATTCAAGTTTTTTAAATCAAAAGAAAAGTTGTTCACATAATTATACTTGGAAGTGGAATAGAGATTAATAGATAAGTCATATGGTATTTCACTGAATAACTTTTTAAGAAAAAGTCAGATTGAGGACCAGCAGTTAGCGTAATGGCTATGTCACTGGACTCCCATGTAGTCGACCGCGGTTCACGTCCCAGACCCGGTGGCTTAAAACTCACGCTGGGCGCGTGTGTGTGCGTGCCCAAGATCCCAGGAAGAGAATGGAGGAGAAGGGATTGCGGCGTGGCCATCCCCCCTGGGGGGTGATTTCTGGCTTTCTGTCTCTCTGTCTCTCTCTGTCTGTCTGGCGAGCGCACACGCCCTATAGCAGAAACCTCTGCAAAAAAAAAAAAAAAAAAAAAAAAAAAGCCAGATTGAAGAAAAAAGAAAAAGTCAGATTTTTTTTAAGGTTGCATAATTTATATTCCTACCAGCAATGCAAGAGGGTTACAATTTCTCTCTCTCTCTCTCTTTTTTTTTTTTTTTTTTTTTTTGTTGTAAGAGGTGTGCATTCACCAGAGCAGAAGAGAGACAGAGACAGAGACAGTGAGAAATTCAGGCCATGAGGCAATTCCTTCTTCTCTATTCTCTTCCTGGGATCTTGGGAATGCACACAGACATGCCAGGTATGATTTCAAACCACTGAGCCTGGGACTCAAACTGTAGTCAGCCACGTGGGAGTCCAGCGACAAAACCACTACATCATCTGCTAGCCTCTCTCCATATTCTTGCCAATACCTGCTACTCTTTTTTATCATAACCATTCTAGCGGTTAAGAAATCACATCTCACAGTGGTTTTAACCTGCGTTTCCCTAAAGACTAATGACATTGGTCATCTTTTTGTGTGCTTCCTAGCTATATGTGTATTTTCTTTGGAGAAATGTCTACTTAAACCCCTGGGTAATTTTTAAATTACGTTTCCTACTTTTTAACCAATTACTTGTGGTCTTTGTTTATCTTAAATACAAATCAAATGTAGTGATTTTTAAATATTTTCTTACAGTCTGCAGGTTGTCTTTTAAATTTTCTGATGGTACCTTTTCAAGACCACAAGATTTTAATTTTGATAAAGTCCAACTTCCCAGTGTTTCATTGCTTATACGTTTGATGTTATAGCTAAGAAATCATTGTTTAACCCATGTTTATGAAGATTTATCATTATATTTTCTTCTAAGTATTTTATAGTTTTATCTCTTGCATTTAGGTCATGATCCACTTTTGTGCAGATTTTTGTGAATCATGTGAGGTATGTGTCCAAATTCACCTTTTTGCAAAGACATCATATTGCCCCATTTGTTGAAGACACTTTTTCATTGAATTTTCTCGGTACTACCAGCAGATGGCAATAGCGGTTACATAGCTGACCACTGTTCAAGTACTGAACTGGTGACTTAAAACTCTTAAAACTCACACTGGGTGTAAGTGGGTGTGTGCCCAAGAACCCATGGAAGAGAATGGAGAAGGGATGTGGCATGACCATATCCCCTGAGGGGTGATTTCTCACTTTCCTTCTCACTGTCTCTTTTCTCTTGGGGAACACACATGCCCTAAGGCAAAAACTTTTTAGACAAAATAAATTAAAAAATAATAAGTAATACTTGATTTTTCTTGGTACCTTTGTTAAAAGATAGCACACTGTAAACACAAGGGGAATGTTTCTGGGCTCCAAATTCTATTCTGTTGCTCAATTCTGTTCTAAACATGTCTCTTCTTGTGTCAATACCATACCGACTTGATTACTGAAGCTGTGTAGTAAGGTTTAAAATTGTGAAATGCAAGTTCTCTTTCTTTTTTTGTTTTGTTTTGCTTTGATATGATATTGTTTTGCCTACTCTGAGTAGCCTTGAATTTCCAAGAATTTGAGAAATTTTAAGATCAGATTTCCAGTTTCTGTAGGAAAGTCAACTGAGATTTTTAGGGGGATTATGTTGAATCCATAGACTCATCTTAGTAGTAGTATTATTTTAATGATACTAAATCTTAATCCATAGACATAGAATATTTTTCCATAGTTCTTTCAGCAGTACTGTAGAGTTCTCAGTACACAAGTCATGCATTTATTTTGTTAAAGTGACTTCTAGGTATTTTATTTTTCTTGCCATATTGTGAATGGATTTTTTTTTCTTTTTTCTTTTAATTTTTTATTTAAAAAAGGATCTTAACTGGGTTGCCCAGGCCAGCCTCAAGATAACAATCTTCCTGCCTTAGCCTCTTCAAGTTGCTGAGATTATAGGTGCAAATCACCACACCCATGCTTTATGTTGGACCAGGAATCTAACTTTGCCTTTTAAATTATCCCAGCCTGTACAGCACAGTGTCTTAAAAGCATGCACCACCACAGCTGGGCCCAGTGAAGGGAATTAATTTTTTTTCCTGTGTGTTCTTGCTCACATGACGAAACACTATTAATTTTTTTTTAAGAAATATTTTATTTGCTATTATTGTTATTTTAAATTTGACTGGAGAGAGAAAAAGGGAAAGCCAGAAAGCGAGCCGCAGGCCCGAACAGATCATGTTGGCCATGTGGGGAGTCCAGCACTCTAAACCCTGTGCCCTGCCAGCCCTGAAACACTATTTTTGTGTGACCTTTTATCCTGCAACTTTGATGAATTCTATGTGTTAATTCTTCTATAGTAAATTCTTTAGTGTTTTCTGTATTAATCATCTTGTTTTTTATAAATTTTACATTTTAAAACATCATAGCTATTGGAAAATAAAACAAATTTAACAAATTATATTTAGGAGGCCCAGGAGATGGCATAATGGTTACATCACCAAACTCCTACCTAGTCAACCATGGTTTGAGTTTTGAATCTGGCAGCTTAAAACTCACACTGGGCATGTGTGTATGCATACCCAAAATCCCAAGAGGAGAATGGAGGAGAAGGGATTGTTCAGTGGCGATCCCCCCAGATTTCCTGCTTTCTCTCTCTCCCTCTGTCTCTCTGGCAAAGTGCACATGCCTTATAGAAAAAACATCTTCAAAATTATATTTAAATGTACTTATTTATAGACATATATAGTAATCATCAATAAAAGGCATGCAAGAATAAAGAAATACTACACTGAGATAAAATTTCACAATGTGGAATGGAAATAAAAAAGAAAAGGAATAATAAAAAATTTCCTCCTATTTAAAAATAATGGTGGTGGGCAACAAATTATTTGATAGATTAAAAAGTTATACAACCATTTTATTCTAAAATGTGAATTTACAATGAAACAGAAACATCATCCATTGCTACTATTTAAGTCCGATGAAAAATTTCGATGACCAATCAAAAACTATGGGAGAAGGTACACAATCAGTTTTTCAGAATTCCTTCAGTGGTATAAGTGCCAAATTATTTGATATCACTGAATTAATTTATAACTCCATAATAAGTTCTAATCTTTGGGATGATTATCTTTCTGAGATTTGATGGAACTACCAAATAGTCCCCAATTTTAAATTAAAAAAAACAAACAAACTTTCTAGTAGTGGTCAAATCGTTTCCAGCATTAATTCTGAATGACGGGAGTAATAATTCATCTGAACAAGTCACTGCCATCCTTACAGAAGTCTTAAGTCTTATGCTAAGGCACGACAAATAGATTTTTAAAAGATATGTGTATCCATGGGCATACCTTTTTCATACGTATTCTTTTACAATTTTAAAGAACTTTTGGAAAAAAAGTCAAGTATGTGCACTTTGATTTTCCTCTTTTAACTTTTCATGATCCTAAATGGTATTACTACAGATGCTAATTTATCATTCAGAGTCAGAAATAGAACATTTTTTACATTTGGTACAGATTTTTAGCGCGTACACACACTCTATTGAGACTTTCAACATAGTGATGCGGGCTTTTGCAGGTTAACGACCTCTGCATACAGCAGTCACAAATGTTAGGTTCCAGCCAAGTGGAGGAAAGAATTAACTTTTTGTTCTCCCAGCAGGCTCCCCCTAGAGGCCTCATGCTCTCACAGCCCAGGGCTCGTCCCTGCTTGGTCTGAGGCCTCGATTCCACGGAGGAGAAACAAAGTGCGCAGGCGCAGGGGCGGGCGACGGGGCCGCTGGAGCCCCAGGTCGGGGGTCCGGGTTGACCCGCGATTCACGAGGTCCTCTCAGGCCTGCCCGCCCTGCTTTTCTCTTCCGGTCGAGTTTTACGGCGACTCCCGGCCGACTGACGTGCTCTGGCACCCTTAGGTCAGAGAGCCCAGAACGTCCGCGAGGGGGGCCGGCTGCGAGTCAGTGGGGCCGGCCCGTGAATGGCGGTCACGTGCGCCGTCACGCTCGGGCCCAGTCGCGGGAGCGGGGCCGGCGCGGTCGCGTGACGTGGCGCGCTGCGGTGCGCGCGACCTGGAACGCTTCGTGAGCTCCCGGCGAGCGCCAGTAAGGCTCTGGGAACTTCGGGACCCAACCGGGCGCGTGAGCGTCCTGGGGCTCCGTGAACGAGGCCCGGGTGTGGACGAAGGGCCCAGGTGGCGGGGCCCTCATCCAAGTCCCAAAAATGGAGCTCCTTTCATTAAAGAGGCACTTTGGAGTCAGACTAGTTAGATAAGTTGTGCGTAGTAAACACCCCCCCCCCCACACACACACCCCTCCTATCTGTGAAACTTTCGCGCCCCTCCTCTCCGTTTTCCTCTGAGACCGAGGGCATACACCCCACGCCCCTGCACACATACCCGTCGGCATCGCGAGCCCGGGCAGTCCCTAGTTAACGTTGTTGCTCCCATGCCAGTTGTTTACAGTGCTTCTAAAATCGCAGTGATTATTCACTCTGCCAACGTTTACTCTTCCTGAAAGTTCCTAGCCATTCTCTGCAGATAAGTCTCACAGCCAACAGCAATTGTATTGGGAAGGGACAGAGTATGATTTTACTCTTTCGAATTCATCTGTTAATGTTCACTGAGAGCTGAAGCTTGCAGGAATCCCTCCGACCTAATTCTGGAAAACGTTTCTGTTGGAATGCACACTGTTCCGTGACGCCACATTGTTGCGTTATTGTAGGGGAGGCCCAGCTTTCCACTTTAGTGGCACTGCATTCCTCTTCTTGTCTCGGGTATACTCGAGGTTTGCTTTCTTGTGTTACGGCTTAAAGAATGTACGCTGAAGACTGTTGCCTCTGAAATGATGGCCTCAGTTATTGAAGAATTTAACATTTTTTTTGTTTGAAATTTCCAAAAGCAAAGAAAAGATAGTATAAGAATGTTCCTAATTATAAATAGAACTATTTTCTCATTGATGCTGCTTTATAATAGATTTAATTTAGTGGTTTAATATTTTCCCTTTTGAAACAGGTAGCCTTCCTGTTATTTGGTATGTGCTTTGCGTCTCACCTGTGGAGCTTTCTGAACCATTCATGTTGATAGTTTTCTTTTTCTTTTTTATTTTATTTATTTACTTATTTATTTATTTTTGGAGAGGTTTTTGCTATAGGGCATGCGCACTCCCCAGAAAGACAGAGACAGAGCGAGAAAGCTAAAATCACCCCCCAGGGGGGATGGCTACGCAGCAGTCCCTTCTCCTCCATTCCCCTCTAGGGATCTCGGGTGAGTTTAAGTCACTGGTCCCAGACTCAGACTGCGGTCGACTACATGGGAGTCCAGTGACATAGCCATTAGGCCAGCAGCTAGTCCCGATAGTTTTCTTAATAAGCCGGAATGGAGTAGGACCCTACGGGGAAATTGCATACAGATTAGTAATATAAAACACCTTTTCTTTTTCATAATGCTGACTAGATATATCAGCAGGCGTCAGGGGACCTTCTAGTTCTCTGTCAGGATATGAACGCTATAACCAATTAAAGACTAAGTGTATACTACTTTCAGTGTTTACAGGATGGAGCTAAATTGCCCAGTGTTTTGATTCACAATTTCACTTTTGCTTTTGTTTAATTATGTTTACATACATTTAGTTATGATTAAAACAAATGTGTTTATTAGAACGTTTAAAAAATTAGAGATTAAGGACCCTACATGGGTATCTGGAAAACATCGTTTGTAATTAAACTGTTATTTTGATATAGCTACTGTTTGTTTAGAACTTTAGATGGACATTTTAGCGTCTTCACTCTGAACTTTGAAAATTAAAATATGTGAGATAATTTAATAGTTTTTTTTTTCATCTTTTCAGAACACTTGATAAACAATTGTGCTTACAATATAACAGGCCTCTACTATTTTACTATTCTGATCCTCTGTACCCTAATTAAGGTGGAGTGTACACTGCCCCCTGGTGTTTGGAGAAGGAGGAATTGGAATCTGTGGAAAGGGGAGGCATTCTAGTAACACAACAACAGGATAAAATTTCTGGGAAATGGATGATTGGATGATCAGTTTTGATAGGGGATTTAGGGTAAAGTAAGGTGGATCTCCATATGGTCAATTTTATGTGATATTTTCTAAATTGCGAATTGAATATATTTTTTTTTACTTTTATTTATTCCATTTTTTATATACATTCAATCACATTGTTTAGCTTACAGAGTGAACATTTCAATATGTGAACATTTCTCCCCAGTCCAGTTGATCAAAACATCAACAGATAACACCACACCTCCTCATCCTGTCAATGCTCTGCCTCTGTACCCCTCCTCCAAATGTCCTTCCCTAGGCCCCACTCCTCCACACACACCACATCTGGCATTCACACCCATCTCTTGTGTTTGTATGTCTTTTAGTCAATCAGTTTCAGTCATAGAGTGCAGACACTCAGTATAT